ACAATATAACGCCCCCACGGCTGAAAGGGCGAGCATGTTTGGTGGGATGCGGATTCGAACCCGCGACCCTCAGATTGTGAGTCGAGCACCTTATCCACCTGGCCATGCCGGGCACTTTTTAAGTAGTCTGTGGTATTCAGGTACACTACTGTCTGACAGAAAAGTCCAAAAGTACTTGCAAAATGCATGTTAAGAACTGTTAAGCAAAAAATAAATCTTGGAGAGACAGCAAAGGAAAACAAGTATACACAAGTTAACTTAAACATAAAATTCTTTATTCACATCACAGCATTGTTACCAAACTGATCAGCTTCCAGTCTGTATGGTTCTGGAGTTAAGGGTACAAACAAAAGCTACAAGCCAAGAAACAGAATTATATAAATACTCCACTTTTATACTCATGCCAAGCTATAATGTGATATCCATAAAGTTTTCCGGTGACATACTTCAATAAACAGTGTTGCTACAATCCTAAGTAATCTCAAACCAGTTTGTAGAAGTTTGTGTATAACTTGTTTGAATAAGCTACCTTTTTAGAAATCTATAGAGAAACACATACACGTTAGCTTGAGACTTAAGAACAAAGGTTGCAGTACGTAACCTTTATCTGCAGTTACAACCTTGTGATATCTGGTCAAGATGGATGCAATTAACTACATGCAAAAAATGCATGGAAATTTCAAAATATTATATGAACATACCCAAATAATGATATATTCTGGACTAAGGGTGATACTACTAGCTGTATCAACTACAACAGATACTAGGAAAGAGAGAATGTTTTTGAATCCAAGTTTGCAACAATGAATTCAGTTTCACTATTTGTAAGCAAGTTACTAGCTTTGGGAAAGAAATACTGGTATAGTGGAGAAAGAATATGATTAGAGACAACTACTGATATTCAAATCCTTCAGCCTAGTGTTTAGATATGGTAAAAAAGGGCTAAAATCAGAATTTAAAGAAATTCTGAACTTGAAGTAAAAAGGTTATCATATCCTTTTATATGACTTTGGTGTGGCAAACTGTGTGTACTTTTCTCTCTCCTTATCACTGAAAGTGCATCAATACCTTAGGAGTACAAAAATAGGATTCTAAAATATCTGATTTAACAAAAACCAAGCTTCAAGAAAAAGAGTTTACAGCTTGGACCTTTTTTTATTTTTAATGTCTAGAGCATATAAGAAACTACGGGTAACTTGATTTAAGTGTTTAAAAATTTTAGGAGCTGAGATTTGTTTAAGAGATGAAAAGGTTAGAAATGATTTAAACTGTTAAGTGCAGTTTTTTTACACTTTTGTTAGGTTTATGGACTTTAATAAGACAAATTGTACACTTTCATACTGTTTCTTGTGGTGAAACAAAAAGGTTTGAAACACATACTTCAACATTATGGGTAAATGATTTGCCTGATGATGTGGTTTAAGATAGTAAGGAGTTTTTTTTCTTTTTAGACTTATTAGTTTTATGAATTTTAAGAGGTATAGTTAATTTGAGTTGGATGTTTTTCTCTGGATGTAAGAGGTGACTTCTTATATCCATAAAACATGTGTACAAATTATTCCTATTATTATGTCAAAATAATTACTGTTGTACATTTACTTATTTTTTTCCTGGTGTGACAAGATAAAAAATATTACTTATGTAAGTAATCACACAATAGTCCAAATGCCTTAAATTTTTTGGATAAAAACTATTTCACATTAAAAAGAAGTATTCTGTGAAAAATGTTTAACAATTATATGCAATTGTAAGTTTCTGTAAGAGATACATCAGGTGATTACACACTTGTAGAGTAGTCAATGAATAGTATATTGTCAAGAAACTTCGGGTATGGGATACATATATTTGTAGTTATAAAATTCAACTGTTTACAAATACAGTGCTCTAGGTATATTCAAAATACACATTATCTTTCATTCACATAGTAATAATCCCTGCATTTATATCCAAATTCTATTCATTACATCAATGTACTAAACCTTTTTTATATTTTTAACACATTCCAAAATGCCAATTTCATGTACAACAAAATTTTAATTTGGAAAAAAAAAACTTGTTTTGTACAAGTTCAACATTTCTCCAAAGTTTCATTTTCAGCTATAAAGCCAGAACATTATTAAAATGTAGGAAATCTTAGCACATGTATTAATATCTTCAACATTTTTTTAAAATATTCTAAAAAGGGCTGAATTCCCTTGAATACTGTATACATACTATACTACAAAATGATAAATCTTTAAATGTGCTTAATCTAGAGGTATAAATATAAACTTCTCCAAACCAAACCATAATGAAGTTAGTCTTACATAAGATACTACTGAAAATTCAGGTATACTATGAAATATCTTCTGTAGTACACAGATCCAAGTGTAATGTCAAAAGTTTCAACAATGAATTTCAAAATCACATTTCAAACACATTCTCATGTACATTCTATGTAGTCATCTTATATCATTAGAAAATTAACAAAAACACAGTTCACATTATCAGGTTATAACTTAAGATAAACTAACAGATTTTTGCATCCATGCTGAAGTGTCCATTTTCAAAATTTCTCTTATAGCCATTGTTGCATATGAGGAGGATGGGAGTGAAAACTCTAGTTTTAAAGCTTTTAACTTCCCACTTGTCAATACAGATGGTAATTGCACACCTTGAACAACATCCAAATCACTGAGAACTAATGGTTCTTTGATATCATCATATCTTAAGATAGCCCAAGACATTAACTGAGGACGAACAAGCAAGTGACGATAGGATCCACCTAAAGAGTAGCTTTTAACCCTAGACTGGAAACTAGTTAGCGTAAGATTGTCCTTTTCCAACAACTCTTTGTACCACTCCATTACTTCATTCTGTGGATAAACAATATTGTAGCCAGGCAATGGTAAAACAATATCATAAATGCTTATTCCTTTGGAGAGATCTGCTTCTGTAACTACAGAAGGTGAGCACTTGGAAATACCATCCTTACAAACATCTTTTTCTGGGTCATTTCCAGGTAAAAGTAGATCCCCTATAATGGGTACTAATCCAAACTGTTTGATTCTTCGAGTAACTACCTTGTTCCAAATAAAACTCTGGTAACTATGAATATACATTAAACGAGTATTACGTGGTATAAAATTTAAAGCATTCACAAGGTCATTGGGTCCATGTGCAACAAGTCCTTGAAGTAAATGTCCCTCAATTGTACTTTTACGTTGTAGTTGTCGAATGGCTTTGGAAGCATCACGTGTTTCCCACCACAATTTTCGACATGCAGCTAAATTGGCATCTTCAATTCCACGTGGTTTAAGAATTAATTCAATAGCTCCCTTATAATCACCTTGTACAAGAGCTCTACCTATGTCTTGTGTGGGCACAGTTGTTGTTCCAAATCTCTGCATTCCATAGTAATTCACAAAACCTTTAGAATGCAAGGATTCGACAGCCTGTTCTACTTCAGTGTCAGAACCAGTTATGTTTCTTAATATTATAACAAAATTATTTCCAGACAAATCTCCCAATTTGATAGATTTTTGCTTGTACTGAATATTTCCTATGGTTATACCTCTTAGTTTCCCATTCAAATTTAGTAACTTTTCTCCTGGAACTCTATAAACTGACACTTGCTGACTAGTTTTCCCACGCTTATCTTTTGTACCTGCATAGCTGAAAGCAGAAGTTTTCATTTTTAACATAGCAGCAACATTATTAATAGCATCCATTGTATCTCGATTTTCTTTATACAGAACAAAATTAGTATAATCACCCCTTCCGGATGGCCAATAATTTCGATTTCCTCTTTTATTGTTCTTTGAGAATCGGCAAACTGAAATAACCTTTTCTTCACCTCTGTCTTCAGTTTGACTGTTCAATCCAGTATAATTTTTTCTTATGTATTCATGAATTTTTCTTCTTTCATCTTTGCTAAAATTGGTCACATTAATTTCAAAACAATCATCTTCTTTAGTGTTACTTTCCAAAGCACGGAGCTTACTTTCTTCTACATCTGTAATAGCTTCTGGAATGGATACACCTGTTTCAGAAATACTAACATCTACTGGTAACTCCAACTGTGAAAGTTTTACAGTAGTTCCAGATGTTGTTTTTTCATTCACCAAGAAATCCGAGTACCGTTGTTTAATTATTCCAAAAAAACCTGGTTTATCACTGACAAATTCTTCAATTCCAACATCTTTTTCTGTTTGTAGTTCACTAACATCATTGTTCTCTGTAATGTCTTCACTCAATGAAATACTGATATCATCGTCGCCTATATTTTCTCCTGTGGCTAAATCTCCTTCAGTCTCAGAGTTCTTACGAGCTTGTCGGGACGTTATCGTCGTAGAGCTAGGAGTATGGCTATCTACTTTAGCCTTTTTTAACACAGGTTCACATTCCTGATCTTCAAAATCAGTTTCTTTTACCGGTGGTGTGGCGTTTGTTGAAAAAGTTGCAGCTGCCATGACAAAAAATAAATCTTAATGCACATTCAGTGTATTAATATGAAGATATAACGGCGTCACTAAAAACTCATCCTACAGAACTCTTCCTTTCACCACGAGGTTCCACAAACATCACATTCACTTGTTCACAATGATCGGTAAATCGGTTGTACGCCATTTTACAGTATTGTTACCGTCTAGCCTTAAGTTACCAAAATTATTTAAGTCAAACTTTGTCATATCTAAGATATAAATACAAAAATTAATTATAACAATACGTAAACTCTTCGTGAAATAAATATTTTTTCTGAAATGTGTAGCGTTCATCAAACGCTTATAAGTTATATTCTGCCCTATTTTATGATAATTCTACTACGTCACGGAATCAATGATAAGAATGGTCATAGCCATCTAGTGACAAATTTCATTGGAAAGAAAGATATATCAAATGAGAAAATAATAAGAAACACGACAGAATTTAACAAAAAGCAACCCTTCTAATGTTCCTGAATCAGTTCAAAAATATTTAAGTCTCAAATTCATAGCTACTTTCTTACGAAAGAAGTTATGTGTTTAGTCCAATGAATGTAAGATAAAATTAACGTTTTAAGAAGAGCTTTGTTTTTCAAAAATTAATGGAAAATTAAGTGTGTCAAATATATTATTAAATCATAGCAAAGCATACATTTCATAAACTTCAGACAAGCTGATTTAACATATAATTATTTTTCTGTTCTATTGAACATTTGGAATTAACTTTAAGCAGATTTTGTTAAACAAGACCGATGTCTGTAGGTTTACTTTCTTCTTAGAATTCTTCTCAAGAA